GGCAGAAGCTGGGACAAGGAACGGGAGCTCACCCCGTTACACGGCACTAGGGACTCGAACCACTGAACTGCCGACCTTTCAATCGACAGCGTCTTAGCCACTGAGCCACCGCGTCCCTCGAGCCACCACATCTCTAACCAGCTGGCTTAGGTTGTTAAATATTAACAAGTCCAACTTCCTCAGCACATCAGCCATATGTTGCAATGAATCTGATCTTTGGGAAGTTTTCCTTATTGTGGTTCCAATTCAACAACATATGTGCAAATACACAACCCATAATTTTATTTTATTTTTTTTGCTAGGCGGCAGCCATGGACCCGTTGAGCTATTCGATGGGCCCCAAACTCAACAGTTTTCCAGCTGATTACAAAGTCTCTTTAAACACTGCACTTTCCTTCCTTCCTTCCTTCCTTCCTTCCTTCCTTCCTTCCTTCCTTCCTTCCTTCCTTTTTAAAAAAAGACAAATATCTGGAGGAGAAATTTATCTCCCAGATTTCCCCAAGGTCTGTTTAAAACCAGAGTTCAACATGTAATTTAATGGAAGCATAGCCTGTTTAGTTTTGGTACCGGAGGCAGCGAGCCTAACCTAAAAAAAAAAAAAAGAAAAAAACGGGATGGAAATGCAGGCTTTCTATACAGATCAGGGGTGAAATGTTCCCGGTTCGGACCAGATCACCCAATCCGGTAGCAATGGCGGTGGGAGGTTCGGAGAACCGGTAGCAAAAATCCCTGCGCCCCCCCTCCTCACCATGCCCAGCTGAGCCGCACAATCATCAGAGGCTTTTATTTATTTATTTTTAAAAGCATTTTTTCTACAACCTCTTCTGACGAAAAAATGCTTTTAAAAGTAAAAAAAAAAAAAAGCCTCTGATGATCGCGCGGCTCAGCTGGGATCGTCAGAGGCTTTTCAAAGCATTTTTTTTCTGCAACCTCTTGGCCGAAGAAGTGGTAAAAAAAAAAATGCTTTGAAAAGTCTCTGACGATCCCAGCTGAGTTGCCTGATCGGCAGAGGCTTTTCAGAGCATTAGAAAAAATGCTTTGAAAAGTTAAAAAAAAAATTGGCCACACCCACCCAGTCACATTACTCCTCCCACCAAGCCACGCCCACAGAACTGGTAGTAACAAATTTTACATTTCCCCCCGATACAGATTCAAATTTTAATAAAAAAGTGATTTTATAGAGCAGCACAATATTTGGATATAACGACAAATGATGCATTTAGTAATTAGGGAGGAACTACAAATAGTTCTTGACTTACAATCGTTCGTTTAGTGACCGAAGTTACAACAGCACTGAAAAAAGTGACTTACGACCGTTCTTTCAAGCTATTAAACCGTTTGCTGCATCCCCAAATTTGGAAGTTTGGCAACTGACTCATATTTACGACGGTTGCAGTGGCCCAGGGTCGTGTCATCCCCTTTTGCAACCTCCTGACAAGCGAAGTCGACGGGGAAGCCAGATTCACTTAACAACGGTGGCAAGAAAGGACATAAAATGAGGCAAAACTCTCTCCTCACTTAGCAACGGAAATTTTGGGCTCAAGTTATGGTCGGAAGCCGAGGACTACTTCTATCTCCTTCGAATGCGAAGGCAAATAAAACGAAGTCGCATTTTTTTTGGGTTCTTCCCTTCAGAAAAGAGAAACACCCCCATTTCCCCTGTGAGAATAAGAACATTGTAAGGAAGAGGAGAAAGTGGTATTGCCAGCATGTAGAAAACTAACACACACAATGGAGCCCGGTGATTAATTTAATTTTCTGCATTCTGGCCTCCTGCCTTTTACCCAAAGTAGCCGTTTTTCGGAGGCACGGATTAGAAATTTGCCAAAAAACAAAATGTAAACGCTCTACAAAAATCCCTGCTTTAATTATTCTCCTTCATTATTGAAATGTTATTGGAATCCTTCATTTAAGGCTCCCGCTGTTTGGCTTAATTTCCTTCTGGCGTCTCCAAAACATGTTGATCTTTACCTATTGATTGGCCTCGTTCGTTTCTTTCCTGGCGTGATACACCGCTAATTTTGTGGAAGGATGCTCAAGTTTGACTCCTTATCCTCTGTGTATAGTAGAGACTTCTGGTGGTCTGGAAGTCCCCACGTTAGGTGGGGCCTTTGGTCTCTGAGTTTGGCTGTTTTCCTACAGATGTTTTGTTACCCAACTAGGGAACCTCATCAGGACAAGAGGGAGGAGGAGGAAGAAGACAATGACTGTGGGGTCCTTGGTCTTCTCCGAGCTTGGTTGTTTTCTTGCAGACATTTCATTACCTAACTAGGTAACATCATCAGTGCAGGAGGAAGGAGCAGGAGGAGGACAATGACAATCACCCAACTAGGGAACATCATCAATGCAAGAGGGAGGAGGGAAGGGGACAATGTCTGAGACATTTTAAATGGGAATTTTAAATTTGGTTTTAAATTATTGGGGTTTTAAAATAGTTCAGCCAAATTTATTTAATTTGTTTTATCTCCATTTTAAAATTTGTATTTATATGTTTTATTTTATGGCTGTTCACCGCCCTGAGTCCTTCGGGAGTAGGGCAGTATACAAATTTAATAAAATGAAATGAAATGAAATGAAATGAAATGGTCTTCTCTGACCTTGATTGTTTTCTTGCAGACGTCTTGTGACCTAACTAGGTAATATCATCAGTGCTAGAATGGAGGGGATTTGTGGAGGAGGAGGAGGAGGAGGAGGAGGGACAATGTCTGTGGGGTCTTTGGTGCTCTCTGAGCTTGGTGGTTTTCTTGCAGGCGTTTCATTGCCCAACTAGGCAACATCATCAGTGCTAGAAGGGAGAAGGGTGTGTGGAGTGGAGGAAGGAGAAGAGGAGGAGGAGGAGGACAACTGTGGGGTCCTTGGTGCTCTCTAAATTTGGTTGTTTTCTTGCAGGCGTTTCATGACCCAACTAGGTAACATCATCAGTGCTAGGAAGGAATGGGGTTTGGTCTCTTGGAAGGAGCTCCCAACTCAGACAATCTAGGAACCACCAAGATCTCTCTCACCAACACTGACAGGACAAGCTATGTAACACGAGAGCAAACCCCACTCCCTTCCAGCTCTGAGGATGTTCCCTAGTTGGGTCAAGCTCAGAGAACCCCAAGGGCCCCAGATAACACCTCAGCCCAACCCACCTTACAGGGCATGTTTATTGTGGGCGAAATAGGAGACGGAGGGAGGAATTGTGTATGTTTGACACCATGAATTATTTGTAAAAATAATGCAAGCGGGATAAAAATCAAATAAATCACAATAACGCCCCATTTACAAAAGCACAGTCCTCGACTTATGACAACCGAGCCCAAAATTTCCATTGCTAGGCAAGGCGGCTGTTAAGTGAGCTGTGTCCCATTTGAAGACCATTTTGCCAATGTTGTTAAGTGAATCGCTGGTGGTTAAGCGAAGCAGGTGGTCGTTAAGCGAATCCGGCTTCCCCCGTTGATTTTGCTTGCTGGAAACTGGCTGGGAAGGTCACCCGTGGGGATCACACAACTCGGGGATGCCTCAACCGTCACAAATACGTGACCCCAGAATTTTGATCACAAAAATCAAATTTTGATCCCATGATCACAGGGATTCTGCAACCGTCGTAAGCATAAAAACCCAAGTCACTTTTTTGCAACTTCCAACGGTCACTAAGCGAACGGTTGCAAGTCAAGGACTACCTGGAATATCAATTTATTCCCTGCTCCCGTGCGAAAAAGAACGCTTTTTTGGCTCGCTCACGGAAGCCGCGGAGAAGGGCTGAAGGCTGCGTTTGCAGACTGAAAAAGTTGCAACGCGATGCCAGAAAACCACACCAAACAATCTGCACATTAAGGAAAATTAAAGGAGAGGGGGAGAGAGGGAGTGGGAGACAAAGGGGGGAGAGAAAGAGAGAGGGAGGGAGAAAAAAGAGAGAGAGAGAAAGAGAAAGAGGGGGAAGAGCAAGAAAAAGAGGGGAGAGGGAGAGAAAGAGATTGGGAGAGAAAGAGAGAGGGGGGAGAGAAAGAGAAAGAGAACGAGTGAGAGAAAGAATAGAGAGAAAGAAAGAGGGAGAGAAAGAGAGAAAAAGAGTGGGAGAGAGGAGTAGAGAGAGAGAAGGAAGAGAGAGAGAGAGAAAGAGGAAAAAAGAGGAGGAGAAAAATAGAGAAAAAAGAGAAAGAAAGAGAGGGAAGGAGGAGTGGAGAGAGAAAGAAAGAGAGGGAGAGAGAGAAAAAAGAGAGAGGGAGAGGAGTGGAGAGAGAAAGAAAGAGAGAAGAGAAAAAGAAAGAAAAAGAGTGGGAGAGAGGAGAGGAAGAGAGAAAGAAAGAGGAAAAAAGAGAGGGAGAGAAAGAGAGAAAAGAGAGAAAGAAAGAGAGGGAGGGGTGGAGAGAGAGAAAAAAAGAGATGGAGAGAAAGAGAGAAAAGAAAGAGAGGGGGAGAGAGAAAAAGCGGGAGAGGAGTAGCGAGAGAGAGGGGAGAGAGAAAGAGAAAGAGAGGGAGGGAGAAAAAGAGAACAGGAGAGAAAGAGAGAGGGAGGGAGAGGGAGAGAACGAAAGAGAGAAAAGAGAGAAAGAAAGAGAGGGAGGGGTGGAGAGAGAGAAAGAAAGAGATGAAGAGAAAGAGAGAAAAGAAAGAGAGAGGGGGAAAGAGAGAGGGAGGGAGAAAAAGAGAACAGGAGAGAACGAGAGAGGGAGGGAGAGGGAGAGAACGAAAGAGAAAAAAAGAGAGAAAGAAAGAGAAGGGGGAGGAGAGAAAGAGAGATGGATGGTGGGAATCTCAGCTGAGTCGTTCCTAACTTTGCTTTGAAGCTCCCAAGCTGGAAGCGGGCTGAGTCAATCAAGAGATATAACAGGCAGGGAGGCTGTAAATTGAGTCAGTGGACACAGAGAGAGAAAGCTGTGCAGAGGGCAAGGAAGGGCTGGGAAGTATATAGAAATAGCTAAAATTGCTAAACGAAGCAGCAGCTGGACAAGGGGAGGAAACCTTCGATTCAAGTGACCCCCTCCTCCTCCTCCTCTTCCTAGACCTGACACCCAGAAAGCAATCTCCGTCACAAAGCGAAGCGGACGGCGCTAGAAATCTCCATCGCAAGGAGGAGTGGGTGCCATTGAAGAACGCAAAGGGATCTCAAGACAGGCTTTGGGGAAAAAAAAAAAAAATTAAAAATCCAGTGTTATAAACCAGAAGCAGGCACATCATTTCCCCGGGACGTTTTGGGGGAAGGAATGTCTCCGGTTCGAGGACTAAGAGAATGCTTGTAAATTCCAGAGAGAGAGAGAAGAAATAAAATAAAATAAAATAAAATCGAGGTAAGACTTTGCTGATTTTGAGCTACGGGCGGTGATTCTTGGGGTGAGGAGGCAGAATAAGAATGGGATTGAATTCGGGGGGGTGCTGAAACGACTGTCATAATAATAACGGGGAAAGATAAAAGCTTGAAGGAAATTTACGTTCCTTTAGAAGAATGAATGTGTCAAAAGGTCCCCTGTAGATTTATTGTGGAGAGGAGCTTAAATCTAACACTAAACATTTTATTTCAGAACGGTTTACAATCCAAGCCTGGCCAGCAATTGCTATTTTCCAAGCCAGAGAAATAACTACTGATAATGATAGCTGTAGGCTGAAAACCCACCTTATTCCTTACCTAGAATAAGAATATATATATAAAAAAAGAATTATTTGTAAACTGACAGGTTACAGAATTTTAGCCTCGATAATCTCCTGAAGTGGTATTTGTACACATTGTCCACCCAAAAAAATATGGATTGCAACCTTTTCCTTCCCCCCAAAAAACCCCCAAATTCAATTGAAATAAAATTGGACTCACACGTGTCAAGTACCAAGAAAAAGGAGTGGGAGAAAAAAAAAAGGGAATAAAATTTTTCTTTTATTTTGCAACCAATCGGATTATAATTATCCAAACTTTGCATAAGGTAGGTTTTTGAGACGAAAACCAAACCATTAAATTTCTGTGTAATAATTATTATTTTTTTAAAATGTTTTTTATTGGATTATAAACAAAAATATGAAGACAATACAAAGACAAACAAAATCCCACCACCTACATACCCACACCACATTCTACGTATATGTTTTAGTCATCAACAGAGTATATATTGTACTACTTTATAAATTCTGTGTAATAATTATAAAGCACTGCTTTCATTATCTAGGAGGGAGATCAACTTCTGAATCCTGATGCCACACGTGGAAGAAGGAAGAGTTATTTTCAACCTCGCTTCTCGACAATCCCTGATTTTTTTTTTTAAAGGTTTCTTTTTCACGATAATTAGCCCAACTTTACCAGGATCTATCGATACAAATGGGCCGAGGGAATTTTAACATTTACGTGGCTTTTTAAGGAAGAAAATTGGGAGATAGCATTGATTGGACCAAGATCTCTTGAAGGAGCAAATGAGACGTTTTAAACCATGCTGGTTGTTTATGGAAATCATACCTGGCTGCCTAAGAAGTCCAAGTTTTTAGATTCTGGGGAATGCTTAAATGAGAAAATAATTTTAAGCCCAGTTTCCTGGTCCCCAAGATGCTCTTGCCTTTGAACGCATCTGACTTCAGGAATGGATCTCTGCAGATCAACTCTGGAGAATGGAATATGTTACGCTGGGCCGGTCTGCTCACTCTGATAGTCATCATACCCACCATCGGAGGAAATATCCTTGTGATTCTGGCCGTCTCTTTGGAGAAAAAATTACAATACGCCACTAATTACTTCCTGATGTCTTTGGCGGCGGCCGATTTGCTGGTTGGCCTCTTTGTGATGCCGGTCGCCCTGCTGACGCTGTTGTTTGGTAAGTACCGGATTCGGATCACCCAACCGATGTTTGAAGATATGAGAAGTGCATTGCCTGGGTCGGCGTGAACATGGGCGAAGACCGGGGTGTAGGTGTAAGTCAAAACCCTAACAGAATAATAGCAGAGTTGGAAGGGACCTCGGAGGTCTTCTAGTCCAACCCCCTGCTCAAGGAGGAAAGCCGATAACGTTTCAGACAAATGTCTGCCCGATCTCTTGCTGTGAAAATATTTACAGACCCCTCACATCCTGGACATAAATGGTTTCAACTCCTACCCTTAAAACGAAGCTATAGAGCACTGCATACCAGAACAACTAGACACAAGGACAGTTTTTCCCCCATGCCATCACTCTGCTAAACAACTAATTCCCACAACACTGTCCAACTATTTACTAAGACTGTATTTCTATTATTCTTCTCTTCCTTACTTGTGTCTATCTCTTCCCACTTATTACTATAACCATGTGCTTGTATCTTTCAATTTATATTGTTTTTATTTGTCTCCTAGTACGATTTGATAGCTTATTAGTAACCCTGACTATCACTTGTATCTTTTTATTCTTGATGAATATATTTTATTCTCCTTATGTATACTGAGAGCATATGCACCTAAGACAGATTCCTTGTGTGTCCAATCACACTTGGCCAATACAAAATTCTCTTCTCTTCTCTTCTCTTCTCTTCTCTTCTCTTCTCTCTTCTCTTCTCTTCCATTCTAACTTCTCTTCTCTTCCCTTCCCTTCCCTTCTCTTTTCTCTTCTCTTTTCTCTTCTCTTCCATTCTAACTTCTCTTCCCTTCTCTTCTCTTCCATTCTAACTTCTCTTCTCTTCTCTTCTCTTCTCTTCTCTTCTCTTCTCTTCTCTTCTCTTCTCTTCTCTTCTCTTCTCTTCTCTAAAACCTCCAGTGATGGAGCATCCACAACTTCAGGAGCCAACTTCCATTCCACTGATAAATTGTTCTCACTGTTAGGAAATTTCTTCTTAGTTCCAGGTTGCTTCTCTTCTTGATGACTTTCCATCCATTGCTTCTTCTCCTGCCTTCTGGTGCTTTGGAGAATAATTTGACCCCCTCTTCTTTGTGGCAGCGCCTCAGAATAACAGAGTTGGAAGGGACCTTGGAGGTCTTCTAGTCCAACCCCCTGCTTAAGCAGGAAAGCCTACACCACTTCAGACATAATGGTTATCCAACATCCTCTTAAAAACTTCCAGTGTTGGAGCGCCCACAACTGCTGGAGGCAAGTTGTTCCACTGGTTAATTGTTCTCACTGTCAAGAAATTTCTCCTTAGTTCTAAGTTGCTTCTCTCCTTGATTAGTTTCCATCTGTTGCTTCTTGTCCTGCCTTCAAGGGCTTTGGAGAATAGGTGGACCCCCTCTTCTTTGGGGCAGTCCCTCAAAAATTGGAAGACTGCTATCATGTCTCCCCTGGTCTTTCTTTTCATCAAACTAGACATACCCAGTTCCTGCAACCGTTCTTCATATGTTTTAGCCTCCAATCATCCCCTAATCCTCTTCCTTGCTCTTCTCTGCACTCTTTCCAGAGTCTCCACATCTTATTTACAATCGTGGCGACCAAAACTGGATGCAGGATTCCAAATGTGGCCTTACCAAGGCCTTGTAAAGTGGTAGTAACACTTCACGTGATCATCCATATTGGAAGATTGCTATCATCTCTACCGGGCATACCCAATTCCTGGTTCAGTTAAGAGTTTTCTCTCCCCCTAAGCTCACTCTGGTTCCCACTGATGGGCTGGCTGGGGAATTCTGGGAGTGGAAGTCCACCGGTCTTATAGTTGCCAAGGCTGGACACCCCTGCCTTCAAACCAGGCAAAACCTCTTGTAAGAATTGCAAGTAAGAGGCTCAAAGACAGGAATCTGGATCGCAAACGCACACCAGACATCATCCCTCTTCACTTTTTTGCTGCTTAAACCCAACTTATTCTTAACACTGATACACCACAGGGTTGTGTGTTGAGTCCCTTACTCGATACTCTTTATGTGCATGATTGCATTCCCACTCACGCTAGTAATATCATTACTAAATTTGCAGATGATACAACAGTGGGGGAATTCATCTCTGGGGGGGGGGGGGGATGAGTCTGCCTATCGAGATGAGGTAGACCGGTGGCTTTCGTGGTGTGGAGACAATAATTTGATCCTTGATACCATTTTTTTTTTTATTTGATTTATATGCCGCCCTTCTCCGGAGACTCAGGGTGGCTTACAGTGCATTAAGCAATAGCCTTCATCCTTTTGTAAATTTATACAAAGTCAGCTTATTGCCCCCACAATCTGGGTCCTCATTTCACCTACCTTAGAAAGGATGGAAGGCTGAGTCAACCTTGAGCCTGGTGAGATTCGAACCTGCAGTAATTGCAGGCAGCTGTGTTAATAACAGGGTGCTTTAAACCACTGACCTACCAAGGCTCCTTATACTACCATATAAGACCAAGGAGCTTATAGTGGACTATAGAAGGAATAGGTCAGACATCCAGCCCTTGCTTATCAATGGAGACCGAGTGGAGCAAGTGGCCAGTTTGAAGTTTCTGGATGTTGTCATAAAAAGAGGACCTGATCTGGGGCGCTCACATAGCAGCCCTGGTCAAAAGGGCCCAGCAGTGATTCTACTCCCTGAGACTTCTCAGGAAACAACAACTGAATGAAAAACTGCTGGTGACCTTCTACCGCTGCACCATAGAGAGTATTTTAACTTCCTGTACCTGTGTACGGTTTGCCAATTGCACAGTGGCAGATAGGGCAGCGCTCCAGAGAATCAACGTCATTGCCCAGAGGATCACTCGTTGCCCTTTCCCCTCCTTGGAAGAGCTTTATAGCTTCCGCTGCCTTAAGAAAGTTCAAAACATTCTTAAAGATCCGTCTCCTCCTGGGCACCCTTTTTTTTTTTGAACTATTACCATCTGGCAGCCGGTACAGGACAATAACGACAAGGACAAAAAGTCTGAAAAACAGCTTCTATCCCAGGGCAGTAACTATATTGAATTCTACTGTATAGTGCCTGGCCTAATTTTTTCCCCTTCTTCTAAATTTTTAAACTCAAATTTTAATTCGTTTTAAATTATTGGGGGTTTTAAATTGTCTCAGGCAAAAATTATTTAATTGGGTTTTAATCATGTCTTAACTTTTGTATTTATGTGTTTTATTTCGTGCCTGTTTACCGCCCTGAGTCCTTTGGGAGTAGGGTGGTATACAAATTTAATAAAATGAAAATGAAAAATGAAAATAGTGCAATATTTTTATTTATTTTTTTGCTTTAATTTATATGCCGCCCTTCCCCGGAGACTCAGGGCGGCTTACAATGCATTAAGTAATAGCCTTCATACTTTTGTATATTTTATCCAAAGTCAGCTTATTGCCTCCACAATCTGGGTCCTCATTTTACCTACCTTTGAAAGGATGGAAGGCTGAGTCAACCTTGAGCCTGGTGAGATTTGAACCTGCAGTAATTGCAAGCAGCAGATGTTAATAACAGTGCTTTAGTCCACTGTATTACAGGCTCTTATTAATATTAATGCAATATCAGGGGTTTTCAATTCAATTGTATTGAATGTGAAGAATGGGTCTTTGGGTTTTATTTTTATAGTCATAATGTACACCGACGGTGGCATTTAATTTCGTTGTATGAGGTGCAATGACAATAAAGTAAACTAAACTAAACTGCCGCGTGCAAAAGCCGAGACTGAATCGTGAAATGTATTCATCAGAAAAAAACATTAGCACAATTCTCCAGATTTTGGGCCAAAGGGCGTAATGAGCCTCAGTAAAACAGAGATTTCGGCGGAGGCCCACACAAGATTCCAGAAATCTATTAAATCAAGCACTTGATCAGGAGTTCTGCAGAAAAACACCTCGTTCTGTTTTTAGATAGTGTATTTGTTCGTTGTGTCTCTGAGGCAGGGGCGTTGTAAGTGATTTGTTAAAGCAAGTTTAAAAATGCTGCCGGCTAAACTGGGAAGTCTTGATGAAGCTCACCAAACCCAGGGGGTCCTCGACTTACGGCCATAATTGAGCCCCAAATTTCTATTGCTAACCGACGCATTTGTTAAGTGAGTTTTGCCCATTTTACGACCTTTCTTGCCATATCTGTTAAGTGAATCACTGCAACTGTTAAGTTAGGAACACGGTTGTTAAGTGAATCTGGCTTCCCCATTGACTTTGCTCGTCAGAAGGTCGCAAAAAAAGGGATCGCATGACCCTGGGGACACCGAGACCGTCATAAGTATGAATCAGTTGCCAACATCTGAATTCTGATGACGTGACCACGCAGATGTTGCAATGGTCGTAAATGTGAAAAATGGACATAAGTCGCTTTTTTCAATGCTACTATAACTTCGAACGGTCACTAGATGAACTGTTGTAAGTCGAGGACTACCTATAATCAGCTAAAAGTCCTCCCTATGAAAGAGCTTTTATACAAGTCCTCTACTTATGACCACACTTGAGCCTCCCCCCTTTTTTTTTGCTAAACGAAATAATCGTTTAGTGAGTTTTACCCCCATTTTACGACCTTGCCGGCCACTGTTGTTAAGTGAATCACTGCAGTTGTTCAGCGAGTAACCTGCTTATCCTCATTCAACAGTCTGTCCAAGAATGTTCACAACACAGTCAATACACTTAGTCTTCGACTTACGACCACCAACGACCCCAAAATTTCCCTTGCTAAGCTGGACAGTGTTACCCATTTTATGACCTTTTTGGCGACAGTTGTTAAGTGAATCACTGCTGCTTTTTAAGTTAGTCACGAGGTTGTTCAGTGAATCCGGCTTCCCCATTGACCCTGCCCCGTCAGAAGGTTGTAAAAGGGGATTACAGATCCCCAGGATGCTGCAACCGTCATAAAATCAGGGGCCTGGTGGCTCAGCAGACTAAAAGCATTGTGATTAACATCTGCTGTCTGCAATTACTGTAAGTTCGAATCTCGCCAGGCTCAAGGTTGACTCAGCCTTCCATCCTTTCTAAGGTAGGTAAATTGAGGACCCAGTTTGTGGGGGCAATAAGCTGACTTTGTATAAATATACAAAAGGATGAAGGCTATTGCTTAACGCATTGTAAGCCGCCCTGAGTCTCCGGAGAAGGGCGGCATATAAATCAAATTAAAAAAAAAAAAGTGAGTCAGTTGCCAAGCGTCCGATTTTTGATCCGATGACCGTGGGGAACGATGCAATGGTCGTAAGTGTGAAAACAGTCGTAAGTCAATTTTTTTCGGTGCCGTTGTAACTTTGAACAGTCATTAAAGAAATAACCTCTAAGATTAACAGAGTTAGAAGGGACCTTGGAGGTCATCTAACGGTTGCAAGTTGAGGTTAACCTGTGGATGTTTCCTTTCCTACCCCCGGAAAATTATTCTGATCCTTCCTTCTCTGCCCATTTCAGAAAAGCCCTGGCCGCTTCCCCCGTTCCTCTGCCCCGCCTGGCTGTTCCTGGACGTCCTCTTTTCAACAGCCTCCATCATGCACCTCTGTGCCATCTCCCTGGACCGCTACGTGGCCATCAAAAAGCCCATCCAGGCCAGCCAGTACAACTCCCGGGCAACCACCCTTATCAAAATAGCAGTGGTCTGGCTCATCTCCATTGGTAAGTGGGGTGGGGGTAGGGAAACTGGTCAGGGCACAGGGTGAAGGTGTGAAATGGCACCGCAGAATGAAATGGGCAGGCTCTGGGGTATCATTTGTTTGTTTAGGAATGAGAATGGGAATGGGAATGGGAATGGGAATGGGAATGGGAATGGGAATGGGAATGGAAATAGAAATAGAAATAGAAATAGAAATAGAAATAGAATAGAATAGAATAGAATAGAACAGAATAGATAGAATAGACTAGAATAGAATAGAATAGAATAGAATAGAATAGAATAGAATAGAATAGGAATAGAATAGAATAGAATAGGAATAGAATAGAACAGAACAGAACAGAACAGAATAGAATTTATTTTATTTATTGATTGATTCAATTTATATGCCGCCCTTCTCCAGAGACTCAGGATGGCTTACAATGCTTTTAAGCGATAGCCTTCATACTTTTGTATATACCTGCTTAGTAGGGCTTTCGCCCCCCCCCAAACGGTGTTCTTTTTTATACAGAGTCAGCTTATTGCCCCCACAATCCGGGTCCTCATTTTACCTACCTTAGAAAGGATGGAAGGCGGAGTCAATCTTGAGCCCGGTGAGATTCGAACTTGCAGTAATTGCAGGCAGCTGGTGCTAGTTAACAGCACTTTAGTCTGCTGCGCCACCAATAGAATAGAATAGAATAATGGAATAGAATAACGGAATAGAATAACGGAAGTAGAATAGAATAGAATTTAGTATAATAGAAAAGAAATTATAATAGAATAGAATTTAGAATAATGGAATGGAATTTAGTAGAATAGAATTTAATAGAATAGAATAGAATAGAATAGAATAGAATAGAATAGAATAGAATAGAATAAATAGAATAGAATAGAATAGAACAGAACAGAACAGAACAGAACAGAACAGCATAGCTGGCTGGAGAATTCTGGGAGTTGAAGTCCACAAGTCTTAAAGCTGCCAAGTTTGAAGACCTCTGATCTAGATTAATAATTCAACGCTGCGGACTGGCAATGTGTCTAAGACACAAAATAGCCAATGGAAGACGCTTCCTTTCTGGCAAATAATATTCAATTCAGCAAAACTGACCCTCCAGATCCGTTAGTCTTGATGACTTTGGGAGGATGGGGGGGAAAAAAAATGAAACGGGTGCCCTCTTCACCAACTGCTGCTACGCCCAAGATAACCCCATTTGCTTCCTGGAAAAAAAAAGGATATTCAACCGCCCAAAAGTTCTGAAATCAAAGGAAGGAAGCGCTTACATAAGGCGCGGCCTTTAGAATCAATCCTTTAATGCCTTGCCTTTTACGGTATCGTGCCCACCCGTTGCCTTGCCGATCTTATCAAGAGGAGTTTTTAAGACTTTTGACAAGGATTATTGCAGTCGTGCATTAAGCCTCTCAAAAAGAGGCCTTTTTTTCTTTTTTAACAGCAGAAGCTTCCTAATCCCCATGGAATTCCTGGAGATTATGAACCAGGATACAATGGCTTTCCAATTTTCGAACGTCCTTCCCTGAAATCATATGCCTGTTTCTCCCTACTGTTGGAAACCGCTCCCCCCCTCAATGCTCTCCTCACTTATGGATCAAAAGACCGTATAGTATTGTTGGTATCACGGCCCAAAGTCCCAGAGTTGGAGAATAATAAGAGTTGGAAGGGATCCTGGAGGTCTTCTAGTCTCCAACCTTGGCAACTTTAAGACTTGTGGACTTCTACTCCCAGAATTCATCCTTGATCCGTTTCCCTAGGTAGGAGTTGGTTCTGCCACAGAACCCGGATCCATTTCTCTTCCCTCGTCCCATAATGATACCCAAGGCCGATGCTCAAGATGGTATTCTACTGTTGTGGCCCGTCAGCGGCCTGTGCAGCTAGTAGCTGATTCCGACAGCGAGGAGGCTGGTGTGGTGCTGCGCCAACAGCCTGTGCAGCTGGCACTCAAGTCGGACAGTGAGGAGGCTGGAGAAGATGTGGTGCCAGAGGCGGGATTCAGCCAGGGCCGCCAGAACCTCCAGAAGCTCCTTTAAGTGAAGAGGACGAAGAGGAGGAGCCTCTTCTCAATGCACGGGGCGCGCAGAGCGGCCAAAAGGCAGGAGTGGCTCCTCAGGAGCTTGGGGCTAATTGGCCACTCCCTTAGCCTATTTAAGGAGGAATGCCAATTGAAGCAATTTGTAGAGAACAACTTTAGTTCACTCTCCTTCGCGTCTGGATTCTCTGCAAAATTGTTTCTGGGCTTTCTGCCAACTCTAGTAAGACTGTGATTACCTTATCTTAGAATAAGGTAGGCTGTTAAGACAGTTTATTAACAGCCTTTGGTTGATAAAGACTAAGTTATTTGAGTAAAATAAGCTTTGTATAGAGTTTATGTGTGCTGCATTCTTTGGGGTCTGTAGCTGGGGCAGAACATCTACTGAGTCTTTTGGGCTGTGGGGGTCTTTTGTGCTCTCCGAGCTTGGTGGTTTCCTTGCAGACATTTCGTGGCCCTGATGGTGTCCCTGAGTTGGTCCATGAAACGTCTCCCAAGAAAACCACCAAGCTCAGAGCTTCAATTGGAATTAGAATTCTTCATTGGCCAAGGGTGATTGGACGCACACAAGAAATTTGTCCCCGGTGTATAAGGTCTCGTTGTGGTCCCAAAAGGTGCTTTTTCAAGAGGCAACTGGACTTTCTGGTTTTTCTTTGAAGACGTTTCGCTTCTCATCCAAGGAGCTTCCTCGGCTCTGACTGGACGGTGGGGAAGGGAAGGGTTGATACTCCTTGCAGACAGCTGGTCATTTGCATCCTTTGAGAGAGTCCTTGACGCCGCTTGGAGGTTTATCGATGTCCTCAGTGGTGCAAATGAGCGTGAGGCCTTCTTGGAACTGTGAAAGGACTATTATTATAGACTGGAGAAAGATGGTGGGAAATCCCTCCCCCTCTGTTGAGAGAGGGCTGTTCAGTTTTAATGTAGATGGCCTCTTTGACTCCCTCTTTCAAACCAGATGTCCTCTCTGCGCAAAATGTGGACTTTGCTGTCCTCAAAAGAGCGGTCTGTGTCTTTTAAATGAAGATGGACTGCTGAATCTTGTCCTGATGTGTTTGTTCTCCTATGTTGTGCCATGTGTTTATTTATGCACCTTTGGCACAACCATCACATGGATGACCGAAAATCTCCATAGATCAGTGTTTCTCAACCTTGGTAGCTTGAAGATGGGTGGACTTCAACTCCCAGAATCCCCCAGCCAGCTCCAATTCTGGGAGTTGAAGTCCACCCATCTTCAAGCTACCAAGGTTGAGAAACACTGCCATAGACAATAAGCTCTCAGTGTACATAGAAGCAACAAGTGACAAATCACGATTAGAATGCATCACTTTTAATATTATAATTTATAATAGATCACCCCCCAGTCCTCCTCCTCCTCCCAAACCCCACTCCCTTCAGACCCAGGTGATCTCACCCAATTGGGCAATAAAATGCCTGTAAGGAAAGGCGCAATCTCAGAGAACACCAAGGACGCCGCAGTTCAATCCTGAGCTACAAACATTTTTTTAAAAAAAATTTGATTTATATGCCGCCCTTCTCCGGAGACTCAGGGCGGATTACAATGCGCTAAGCAATAGCCTTCATCCTTTTGTATATTTATACAAAGTCAGCTTATTGCCCCCACAAACTGGGTCCTCAATTTACCTACCTTAGAAAGGATGGAAGGCTGAGTCGACCTTGAGCCTTGGCGAGATTCGAACCTGCAGTAATTGCAGGCAGCTGTGTTAATAACAGGGTGCATTAGACCACTGTACTATCAAGGCTCTTAACATTCCCTTCTATTGGTCTCCAGAGGACTATTTGGGCTCCCATCTGCAGATTCTCCCGATCGCAGTGCCCCCTCCTCAAAATATTCCGAGGTCCTCGCTTCCACGTATGTATGGACAGAAGCTGACTGGATTTCCACTTCCTTTCGCAGGCATCGCGATTCCGATCCCGATTCGCGGGATCGAAGAAAACGGCGCCAACTTTCCAAACTTCACCTGCGTGCTCAAGCCCAACCGTTTCGGAGACTTCATCCTGTACGGTTCGATAGCCGCCTTCTTCGTCCCGCTGGCCATCATGGTGGTGAGTTACTTCCTGACCATCCGAGTCCTGCACCAGAAGGCTTACTTGATCAACAAACCGCCTCAACGCCTGACTTGGAACACCATCTCCACCGTTTTCCAGCGGGAAATGACGGCCGGGTCCTCGCCGGAAAAAGTGGCCATGCTGGATGGTTCCCGCAAGGACAGAGCTTTGCCGAACGGGAACGAAGAAAGGCTGATACGCAGGATGTCCGCCGTCGGGAAAAAGTCGATGCAGTCCATCACCAACGAACAGCGAGCTTCCAAGGTGCTGGGGATTGTGTTCTTCCTTTTTCTGGTGATGTGGTGTCCCTTCTTCATCACCAACATCACCTCCGTCCTGTGCAAATCCTGCAGCGAGGAGTTCATTCAGATGCTGATGGAGATCTTCGTCTGGATCGGCTACGTCTCCTCGGGGGTAAATCCGCTGGTCTACACCCTTTTCAATAAGACCTTCCGGGAAGCCTTCGGCAGGTACATCACCTGCAATTACCGGACTTCGGCTGCCGGCACAGCCTCCCGGAGACCCTCCGCCAGACTCTCGTTCCGAAATTCGGTGACGGAGAACTCCAAGCTTTTTATGATGCACCACGGAAGGCGGAACGGGGTCAATCCGGTCAGCTACCCAAACCACCGGCTTTGTAACTCACCCATCCAGTCTTCGTCGGCTGTTCTGCTGGACACGTTGCTCCTCACCGAGCACGAAGTGGACAAAACAGAGGAACAAGCCAGCTATGTGTAGCCTGGCGGTGGGAAACGCCCACCGTGCACGCATGCGAAGCCAGTATGGGAAACGCCAGTATGTATATATATATATATATATGGTTTTCATCTGTTATTTATATAATTCCTAATGGCAGTTTTAAGACTTGGTCTCCTCTTGCCCCAAGACTGCCTCCGTTTACTCCAGTGTAAGAGGTAAAGCAAGCTTTCCGGCACCGTGGGTTTATAAATGGAGGAGGAACCTCAATAAATAAATACAGCTATGGCAAGTCTCGGGTCTCCGATTCCTCATCTCTGATTTATTTAAACAGACGCACACGCAACGTGACAAAAAGACAAAGGGCTATTTTTTCAAACTTATGCAAGGTTTGTGTTTTTTTGCACAAGGATGCTTACGCTTAGGAATAAAGTGTGTATCTTAAACTTATCTAGGAATTCATTAGCGTCTTCTTCCCAAAGAACAAGGGAAAATTAAAAGGCTGGCTGTTGCCAAATGTTACCAAGAGCCTTGGTAGTACAGTGGTTTAATGCACCCTGTTATTAACACAGCTGCCTGCAATTTCTGCAGGTTCGAATCTCGCCAAGGCTCAAGGTTGACTCAGCCTTCCATCCTTTCTAAGGTAGGTTAAATGAGGACCCAGTTTGTGGGGGCAATAAGCTGACTTTGTATAAATATACAAAAGTATGAAGGCTATTGCTTAACGCATTGTAAGCCGCCCTGAGTCTCCGGAGAAGGGCGGCATATAAATCAATTTTTTTTTTAAAAATGCTTTAACTCTGCTCTCGTTGTCCATGGCAGCGGTTCCCAAACTTTGTGTGTTGGCGACCTGGCTGGGGGGGAAGGGAGGGGAACCCGGGCCACATGAGCGGTGGGCCGCTGTGCACGCACGCATAGCTCAACTGCCGGCCTGCTGCTTGCACGATTGGAGGTGTGTGCACGTGCGTGCCACCTTCCACTCGCCTGGCTCTGAATAGGTCACTGCCCGGAAGTGGGCCGAAGCCCGGGGGGGTGGGCCTGTTTTACGGACATGTCTCAAAAATCCAAATCTTTCGAATAAATCTCAGCTTTGCCAGTTGAATTACGCACGGTGTTCTTTTTCTTGCCAAACTGCCTGCAGGTAATCCTTATATTAAGAACGGTCGCTTAGTGACTGTTCAAAGTTACAACAGAACCAGAGGTGGTATTCAGCCGGTTCGCACCAATTTGGACGAACTGGTAGCGGCGGTTGTGGGTGGGTGGGGGGCGCTCACCCGCCCACGCTCCAAGTTGTGCTGTTTAAGCATGTTTTCGAGGCCGGGCACATGCGCGGAAGATGCGTGAGCAAGCAAAGCACATGCGTGGAAGGCCGCGCACATGCACAGACAGCATGTGCATGCACGAAGTGAGCAGGAGTGCGACGAACCGGTGGTAAAGATAAGTGAAACCCACCCCTGAACAGAAACCCCCACCCAAAAGCTACTTATGATCTGGATGTAAAAGTTCCGATGGTTACCCCAACACCCGTGGTCACATGATAGCATTTTCGGTGCTTGGCAACAGGCCCACATTTATGTCTGGGGCCATATGACCGTGAGTTATGCTATTTTATTTATTTTGCCAAAAACTGCAGTTTAGTTCCAGTTTCGATTAAAAAAAAAAAAGCCCCAATGTAGACAATGATCATTTAATGACTGCTGCGTTAAAGACCATGTGATTCACTTAACGACCACTGCAAAAAAGTTTGTAAAATGGGGAGTGGTCACGTGCTGATTTGCTTGACCAGGGGTGTCAAACTCGATTTCATTGAGGGCGACTTCAAGGCTGTGGTTGACCTAGGGTGGGTAGGGGGGGGTGGCTGACTGGGTGGGCTATGCTGGCCGGGGAATTCTGGGAGTTGAAGTCCACACATCTTCAAGCTGCCAAGGTTGAGAAACACTGAATTCCAGTGATCAATAAAATTGCAAGGATTTTTAGATCCTAACATACAAGTAATTTATTATGGGTATCTGTAACTTACGGAAGCCAAAAATGCACAATGTACTATAAAGTGACGAAGCTAACGCTCACTTTTTTCTTTTTTTTAAAAAAAGAATAAATCAGTGTCACAGATAAATGCTGTTTTTTAGGATTAGATAATTCCAACACGGAAAATATTTCGCATGATATTGCGAAATTCTCCAAGATACTATGAAAATCTCCTGGTTTGGGGCAACAATGAAATACAGGCAGGCCTTGACTTGCAACAGTTCGTTTAGTGACCGTCCGAAGTTACAACAGCACTGAAGAAAGTGATTTATGACCTTTTTTCCACACTTACGACCGTTGCGGCATCCCCATAGTCATGTGATCAAAATCCAGGCGCTTAGCAACTGACTCATACTTATGACAGTTGCAGTTGCCGGGATGACATGATCCCCTTTTGCAATCAAAGAAGAAACAAACCGAAGAAAGAACAAAGAAGAGGGAGTCAAGCAATGGGTGGAAACTCATCAAGGAGAGAAGCAACCTAGAACTAAGGAGAAACTTCCTGACAGTTAGGACAATTAAGCAGTGGAACAACTTGCCACCAGAAGTTGTGAATGCTCCAACACTGGAAGTTTTTAAGAAGATGTTGGATAACCATTTGTCTGAAGTGGTGTAGGGTTTCCTGCCTGAGCTGGGGGTTGGACTAGAAGACCTCCAAGGTCCCTTCCAACTCTGTTATTCTATTCTATGCTAACGTTCTGACAAGCAAACTCAATGGGGAAGTCACATTCTGCAGTGATTCCCTTAACCAGGTGGTAAAATAGGGCAAAATTCACATAACAAATTTCTCACTTAGCAACAGAAATGTTGGGCTCAACTGTGGTCTTAAGCGGAGGACTTCCTGTATGCACCGAATGCTGGAAAATAAAGTCACAAATAATTCCTGCAGAGCTTATTATAATGTACCCCAGGAATGCCCAAGTACCTTGTAACACTGAAGCGCGTGGCCTTTAATTAACTCAGCTAGATATAATTTTTGAACTTTCATTAATGTACGCTCCTAAATATCAGTTTACACTGTGCTGGCCATATTCCACCTTCAAGTAGAATGGAAAATCAAAAGAGTATTATTCTAAATCTCGTAAGAGTGCGTAATGCACCCCGAATAACTCAGAACAGATCCAACTGGAGATGGTATCGAATGGCTGTATAATTTAAATTCACCTGATGGGGTGGCCTTTCTCAAAAGGAACAAAGATCCCAGATATCTTGAGAAAGATTGGATCCTTTATCTAGACGTTTGAAGGCCGTTGAGGAGGACACTAAAATTAACGGCGACAACAGCAACGATAACCAACAAATAAAAGGACCAAAACTGAAAATAGTGCTTTATTTCAGGCTTCTGTCATCCTAGGAGAATGGGTTTTGTTTTCCTTCTTTTGTCCCTGACAGCATGAGTTGCAAACTAGTCCTGAGCCATCCTTGATATATGTGGTGGAAGGAAGGAAGGAAGGAAGGAAGGAAATGAGAAGGAAGGAAGGAAGGAAGGAAGGAAGGAAGGAAGGAAGGAAATGAGGAGGAAGGAAGGAAATGAGGAAGGAAGGAAACAAGGAAGGAAGGAAGGAAATGAGGCAGAAGGAAGGAAATGAGGAAGGAAGGAAGGAAATGAGGAAGAAGGAAGGAAGGAAATGAGGAAGGAAGGAAATGAGGAAGGAAATGAGGAAGGACGGAAGGAAATGGGGAGGAAGGAAGGAAGGAAATGGGAAGGAAGGAAGGAAATGGGGAGGAAGGAAACGAGGAAGGAAACGAGGAAGGAAGGAAATGAGGAAGGAAGGAAACGAGGAAGGAAGGAAGGAAATGAGGAAGAAGGAAGGAAGGAAATGAGGAAGGAAGGAAATGAGGAAGGAAGGAAGGAAGGAAATGAGGAAGGAAGGAAGGAAGGAAGGAAATGGGGAGGAAGGAAACGAGGAAGGAAACGAGGAAGGAAGGAAATGAGGAAGGAAGGAAATGAGGAGGAAAGAAGAAAATGAGGAAGAAAGGAAATGAGGAAGGAAGGAAGGAAGGAAATGAGGAAGGAAGGAAGGAAGGAAATGAGGAAGGAAGGAAGGAAGGAAGGAAATGAGGAAGGAAGGAAGGAAACGAGAAAGGAAGGAAATGAGGAAGGAAGGAAGGAAATGAGGAAGGAAGGAAGGAAATGAGAAAGGAAGGAGGGGGAGGGGGAGGGGAGGGATGGGAATGAGGAAGGAAACAGAGAAAGAGAAAGAAACAAAGGGGGGGAGAACAACGAATAGACAGTAAGGAGGGGAAAAAAAAGGAGATAGATAGAAAGGAAGAGAAAGAAAAAAGGAGGGAGAGATGAAGAAAAAGAGAAACGGAGGAAAGAAAGGATGCAGGGAAAGAAGGAAAGAAAAAGGAGGAAGTGAGAGGGAAAAAGAAAGAGAGGAGAAAGAGAAAAGAAAAGAAAAGAAAAGGTTTGAAATGGTTTGGGACTCATGGATTTGCCTTCCTGAATTCTGAAATGCGTGATGGTTCGGTCTCCAGCTCCGTGTTTCTCAACCTCGGCAGATTTCAGGTGGGTGAACTACAAATGGGCAATTCTGGGATTTAGGATGTCAACCCATCCTAAAACTGCTAAGGTTGAGAAAACTCTGTTCTAGCCACTTCACCAGGAAATCAGCTCTAAAGGGGAATATTTGCAGCTCAGGGATGAAATGAGGGGGTGCTTGGTGCTCACTGACGTTTCATGACTCAAACTGGGTAACATCACCAGTGCTAATAGACAGAGGTGGTATTCAGCCGGTTTGAGCAAACCGGTAGCGGAAATCACAATTCTATGCCGGCTCTATGCCGTCCTATTTAGGCATGTTTTTGAGGCTGGGCACGTGTGCAGAAGGCAGGCATTTGCGCGAATCGGTAGCAACAAAATGTGAAACCCACTGCTGTTACTAGAATATAAAATGAGAGCAGGCCCCACTCCCTTCTAGCCCTGATGATGTTACCTAGTTGGGTAAGGAAATGCAAATGGGCGTGGAGCCTTCTCGGAGCTGCTGAAAGGATTGTGTTATAGACTGGAGATAGATGAGTCACAACACCCATTTGCACCACTCAGGTGACCTCGAGGACACAGATAAATCTCCAAGTGGCCTCAATGACCCTCTGCAAATGACCACCTGTCTACAAGGAGTATCAATCAGGGGTGAAATCTACTTACCTTCCTTACCGGTTCGGAAATGCAGGTGTCACATGCGCGCGCAGACCCTCTGAGCATGTGCAAAAACCTTCTGCACATGTGCAGAGGGTAAAAAAACACATTACTTCCTGGTTAAAACCAGGAAGTAACGACAACCAGGCAGGTGGATGGAGCCTCGCGCCGCCATCTCTACCGGTTCTCCAAACCACCTGCCACAATCGCTACCGGATCGCCCGATCCGGACTGAACCGGGAGCATTTCACCCTTGGTATCAATCCTTCTATTTCCCCCACCATCCGGTCAGAGCTGAAGAAACTCTGGTGGCTCTGGGGCCTGGTGGCTCTGCAGACTAAAAAGCATTGTGATTAACACCAGCTGCCTGCAATTACTGCAGGTTCGAATCTCGCCAGGCTCAAGGTTGACTCAGCCTTCCATCCTTTCTAAGATAGGTAAATTGAGAACCCAGTTTGTGGGGGCAATAAGCTGACTTTGTATAAAATATACAAAATTATGAAGGCTA